AAAAAAATATTCTCTCTCTTTTTGTCCTGATCCATTTATATAAAAACCTATCTGAAAATGAGCTGATCAGATTTTGTCCACTTTATGATGTCATAACAATTCTTTGGCTTAGCCAATCAGCATCCAAGGTAACCCCCCCCTTATCACCTGAATCTCCTCTTAGAGCACCATTGTGTTCTTTTTAACCAAATGTCTCTCAGAGGGGCGTGGGGAGGGGCTCCTTATTTTCATCTAAAGTAACAGACAAGAATCAGCACTTTTGAAACAGGGCTGAAACAGAGGGGATTATGGGTAAGGCTGCAATGATCTGTTTTGGTGTTTCAGCCAATCAGAGACATGTTCTGTATATATCTGAGACCTATAATATATTGATGAAAAACAGTATAATAGGGGACCTTTAACAGTGTATGTGATTTTATTTTGACTGTTCTTCTTCTCCTCCCCCTCCTCCAGGGAGATGTGGGTATGGCCATGGGGAAGCTGTACGGCAACGACTTCAGTCAGACCACCATCTCCCGCTTCGAAGCCCTCAACCTGAGCTTTAAGAACATGTGCAAGCTGAAGCCACTGCTGGAGAAGTGGCTCAATGATGCAGGTGAGCTGTCAGAAAATACTTTACATTTCGACAAAAAACATTGTTTGATTCAATATTCAAGATTCAAGGCTTTTCTTGTCATGTGTGCATAGCTACAGTGTAGTTATGACAATGAACATCTTAGGTCAAAGGCTCCTCCAACAGTGCAAAAACAAGTAAATCAAATCAAATCAAATAGAATATATTGTTAACTTGTTTTTCAGATTTGAGTGTCTGGGCTGGAAGGAAAATATGAAATTGCTGTTTCAAGTGTTTCTTTTACTACTCTGTCTATTTACATCTGTAGTTTCTCCTACAACAAAATGCCTCATTTGCAAATGAACGTATACATTTTGTGATGGATTTATTGATTGCTTCCTCTTCCTCAGAGACCATGTCTTTAGACTGCACCATGCCCAGCCCCAGCTCCCTGTCCTCTTCCTCGATGGGCTTTGACGGGATGCCTGGCCGCCGCAGGAAGAAGAGAACCAGCATCGAGACGAATGTACGCGTGGCCCTGGAGCGCGCATTCATGACGGTATTTATCCTCATTATTTCCTTTGAAAATCACGAACTTAAATATCAAAAAGTCAATTAAAGACGATTGCTTTTGAACATGAAATTAGTTCTATGAGATTCTAAAGCATTATCTGAATACTGGGCAGTAATTTAAGTCTATACGTCGGTATTTTTGAGCTTTTAAATGACATTACATCTACTCTGTTACATGTACTTTATTTAAAAATAAATAACATTTCTGGAAGCTGCTATTTTTGCATCATACTTTTAAATCGTATTTGAGTACATTTGCGATAAAGTACATGTATTTTAACTCCATTACATACATCTACAGCTTGTACTACTTGTGCTGGGAAGAAGGGTTGATGTGTTTACCACATCTTGTGAAACATTGGACTAATGATCTGAATAAATGTCTGAATAAATGTCTGAATAACTATCTGAATAACTTTCTGAATTCCTGGTCCTCTGTGTTGAAGCAGAACCAGAAGCCTACCTCAGAAGAGGTCCTGATGATCTCAGAGCAGCTGAGCATGGAGAAGGAGGTGATCCGGGTCTGGTTCTGCAACCGCCGGCAGAAAGAGAAACGCATTAACCCCTGCAGTTCCACCCCGCCCCTGCCCACCCAGCCCCCCTCTGCCCCCCAAATGCACAAACAGCCCTGCTACAGCCCTCACATGGTAAATATACAACCTCACTGTTACACGTGTTAGCAGTTGTGGACAGTAATGAACATGTAGCGTCTTTGAGCAATAGAAAAAGCGCTATAAAAAATCCAATGTTATAATTATTATTATTATTATTATGTACTCAAGTTCAAGTGTGTGGAGGCAAATATTATACTTTTTACTCTACTTAGTATTCTGAAATTGCAGAATGAGCACTTTTACTTCTTGTACATGTTGTGTTTGTACTTCCTTAATTTACCTTAAGTGACATTTTAATATTTCTACACTGTGGAATTACTACTTTTAGTTAAGTAAATAATCTGCCCATTGCTGGTTAATCTTTTAATGGGGTGATTTTATTTTAATGAATGTTAAAAATAAGAATCAGAATAATTAATTTGTTTGTAAATAAACCAAAGAAGTTAAAATGTACAATAAAATAGAAAAAAATATTTTTTAAGTAAACATTTTGAATAATAAAAAAAAAAATACATCTAAATATAAACATAGGAAATCAAAGTACAAAATTGCAATAAAGATAAAATAAAGTTGGTAAGTTAAAGTAAAAACTGTGTACATTATATAACAGCAATATATATTTAAAAATCTCTCTCTCTCTCTCTCTCTCTCTCTCTCTCTCTCTCTCTCTCTCTCTCTCTCTCCCTGCAGATGTCCAGCCAGCTGTCCCAGGCCGTGACCAATCTCAGCACAACGGTGACCACCATGTCCCCCGGCTGCCCCCTGACCTCCAGCCTGACCTCCAGCCACCCCTCCCTAAGCTCCAGCCACCCCTCCCTAAGCTCCACCCACCCCTCTCTAAGCTCCGCCCCCTCTCCGGTGACCCCCCCTCCCCGCAGCACAGTCAGCCCCGCCATCCCCATCCCCAGCCACAGCACACTCAACCTCAACACAGGGTGAGAACACAACACAAGTGCTAAGAGGCTTTTACTATTGTATTGTATTGTATTGTACCATCAAAAGTCAAAGTCAACGTTATTGTCAATCTTTCAGTTTGTGTGTACAGACAGAGAGATCGAAATACCGTTTCCCACAAGCCCGAATACAAAAATACAAATATGTATAAAATATGTATATACATATACACAATCAACAGACACATTTACACATGTGCACACATTAACATAAAAACACAACAATCAATATATACAAAATAACAGTCACTTCAATATCTTTGGGAATGTACATTAGTGCAAGATTGTCCATAGCAGCGAAAAAAAGTGTCGGTACCACTTTACAATAAGACTACCCTTATAAAGGATTCATAAAGGGTTTATAATTAGGTTATTAATTAGTAAACACTTTATTAATCATTAAGAACCATTTATAAACCAGTTCTAACATAGTTTGCATACGTCAACACAGGCTCACTATTTGGCAAGATGACTAAGTCTTATATTGGCTACCTAGCTTACTTCTTCTTCT